AATTTCAGAACAAGTTTTCTTGTACTCATTGCTGTTAACACCTGATTTTTCCCAATCTTCCCCGCCATCCACCTTAGTAATTATTAATCCAGTTACTGTCTCTATATATTTACAAATCCTGAATTTCATATACAGGAAATTATGTAAAATACAAACAAAAAAATCAACAGTGACAAAACAGAGCAGAGAAAAATTCTAATTGAAAAGAAAGAACAAAAATTTTAACAACAGAAAGACCTTCATAAAGGGAAATCAAAGCTCTTTTTATGAAACTAGTGCTGAAGGCAAAGAAGGGGTCCATACCCCTCCCAAAACGGAGGTCAAAGCAAAGATGTTCAAGACCAAGAAGGTTGTGCTGAAAGGCATCCACAGCCACAGAAAGACCGTGAGGCTCAGAAAACTCAAAACTCTCACTGCCATGGAGTCAATGCTGATTCACAGTGACCCCCTTGTGGTTTTCTGAGGCTGCAACTGTGTTTGGGAGTAGAAAGCTCAATTCTCCCGTGGCTCTGCAGCTGGTTTCTAATTGCTGACCAGGCAGCTAGCAGCCCAGTGTGCAACAATCACACCACCAGGCAGCCCGAATACCCTTGGAAGAGCAGCCCCAGGAACAGAAAGCTTGATCACTGTGCCATCATCAAGTTCTCCCTCACCACTAAGTTAGCCATGAAGATAACAACACTCTTGTGTTCATTGTGGATGCCAAGACCAACAAGCAGCAGATCAAACAGGCTATGAAGGAGCTCTATAACAATGACACAGAAGAGGCCAACATCTTTATCAGGCCTGATAGCGTAAAGAAGGCATATATTCAACTGGTTTCTGACTTTGATAATTTAGATGTTTCCAGCAAAATCGGAATCATCTAAACTGAGTTTAGTTGGCTAATGCTAAACATAAACTTTTCAAAGAAAAAGAGAGAAATCAATGATAGGGTGTTACATTTTAACCTAACTACTTCTGCCTTAATTGACTTTATAATGCACTCTGTCTGTTAGCAAGGTATTTACATCCCTCAACTATGATCAGAGGGCATTCACTAGAGACGTAACCCACGTGGAGATCCTGCAAATGGATTTTGGGCTTCCACTGTCTTCCATAGCCTTCTGCAAATTGGGTGTTCAGAATTGACACTCTGATATTGTTCCCTCCTTTGGATTTAGATTTTATTATTTACAATATTTGGATCGCACCGGTTTGTGTGCTTCTTCCACGTGGACTTAGTTGATGTCTCACTTAAATGGCTGCTTGTCCGAAAAGAATACTTAAAGACCGCTGACACTATTCTTTCTGAGAGCTGAGCACCATCTGGTTTCTTTACCACACTTTGCTATAGTCTCCATATATTCAGTGATCTCTTCATGTGAGTGGATATTGAGTAGGGCCATGCGTAAGAACTGATTTTTCTTAGATTGAGGCTAGAATTAAGCGAGAGCCTAAAATCCATTCATATATCTATGGTTTAAATGTCTCTGGTTCATTTTAGTGACGTCATTATCATTTTATGATAGAGAACATAATCATAACTCATCCCTCTAGGGCATAAAATGATTCTATTAATAGCATCATTAATTTATGGAGCTCTAATTTTTCCAGCACTATTTGTTAAAGAGATTGTCTCTTTCCCATTTAATTTTTTTGTACTTTGTTGAAGTACAATGGCCTGTAAATGGATGGATTTATTTCTGCTTTTTCTATTCTGCTCCGTTGGTCCATGAGCTCATGATCCCAGTGCCAGACTATGACTCCTGTGGCTTTGTAATAGGTTTTGAGATCTAGAAGTGATAGTTCTCCTGCTTTGTTCTTCCACGTAAGAAGTTCTTTGCTTATCCTAGGACTCTCCCCTCTCCGTATGAGGTTGTTAATTAGTTTTTCCATGTCTTTAAAGAATAAAGTGGGTATTTTGGATCAGAATTGTATCTGATGAACCCATACATACATATTCTTCCATTTGTGTAGGTTTCTTGGTTTCTTGTAATAGTAATCTGTAGTTTTCCTTGTACAAGTCTTTTGTCTCTTTGGTCAAATTTATTCCTAAGTATTTCATCTTTTGTGTGGCTATAGTAAATGGTTTTTGTTGTAAATTGTATGTAAATTGTTTTCTTCGTATCTTTTTCAGAGCTCTCTTCCAAGGTACACAGGAATTCGATTGCTTTCTGCTTGTTAACCTTGTATCTGCTACATTACTGAATCTCTGAATTGTTTCCAATAATCTTTTTACTGAATCTTTGATGTTTTCTACATATAAAATTATATTGTCTGCAAATAATGAGGGTTTCATGTCTCCAATTGTATGCCCCAATTGTATGCCTAGTTCTACTGCCATTGGATCCACAAGACTTTCCAACCACTGGCCTGTGATCTTCCTGCATTTGGCATTATTGCATGACTGCATGGGTCTAAAGGTGGAATTTATGGACTAGTATTGGACATATGGGCTAATATTGCACTTATGGGCTTGATCTGGACTGGGCTGGGATGTTTTCTTAATGTACAATTACTCTTCATACCAAGCTCTTCCCTACACACATATGAATGTCTATGAATTTGTTTTGTATAGTCTACCCAGACTAACATAGTATCTAAATTTTTTTATAAAACAACCTTACACCTTAAAGTATTCTCCATGACACTTAATACATTTGTCAAATCTGTGGTTCCATTCTTGCAAACATTTTTCAAACTCATCTGTTTGGATAAGTCAAATCCGTAGTTTGTCATATCTGCGGTTCCATTCTTCTTTTTTTTGCCATTTTTAAAAATCATTTTATTAGGGGTTCATACAACTCATCACAATCCGTACATACATCATTTGTGTCCAGCACATCAGTACATATGTTGCCATCATCATCCTCACAACACCTGCTTTCTACTTGAGCCCTTGGTGTCAGCTCCTCATTTTCCCCCCTCCCTTCCCGCGCTCTCCTCCCCTGAACCCTTGATAATTTATAAATTTTTATGTTATCATATCTTACACCATCCAACGTCTCCCTCACCCACTTCTCTGCTGTCCATCCCCCAGGGAGGAGGTTATATGTAGACCTTGTCATCTGTTCCCCCTTTCTCCCTCACCTTCCCTCCACCCTCCCGATATTGCCACTCTCTCCACTGGTCCTGAGGGGTTCATCTGTCCTGGATTCTCTGTATTTCCAGTTCCTATCTGTGCCAGTGTACATCCTCCAGTCCAGCCAGATATGTAAGGTAGAATTGGAATCATGATAGGGGGGGGGAAGCATTTAAGAACTAGAGGAAAATTGTATAGTTCATCGTTGCTACACTGCATTCTGATGGGCTCGTCTCCTCCCCACAACCCTTCTGCAAGGGGATGTCCAATTTCCCCCAGATGGGCCCTGGGTCCCCACTCTGCACTCCCCCTCATTCACAATGCTATGATTTTTTTTTTTTGTCTTTCATGCCTGATACCTGATCCCTTCGACACCTTGTCATCTCACAGGCTGGTGTGCTTCTTCCATGTGGGCTTTGTTGTTTCTCAGTTAGATGGCCCCTTGTTTATCTTCCAGTCTGTGGGAGCCCAGATTCTGTATATTTTGACAGCTGGGCACCATCAGCTTTCTTCACCGCATTTGCTTATGCACCCGCTTTGTCTTCAGCATTCGTGTCGGGGTAGGCTGGTGTGCTTCTTCCTTGTGGGTTTTGTTGTTTCTTAGCTAGATGGCCGCCTGTTTGTCTTCAAGCCTTTAAGACCCCAGATGCTGTATCATTTGATAGCCGGGCACCATCTGCTTTCTTCACCACTTTTGCTAATGCACACCCTGTGTCCTCAGCGATTGAGTAGGGACAGGCTGGTGTGCTTCTTCCGTGTGGGTTTTGTTGTCTCTCAGCTAGATGGCTGCTTGTTTATCTTCAGGTCTTTAAGACTTCAGGGGCTATATCTTTTGGTAGCTGGGCACCATCAGCTTTCTTCACCACATTTGCTTGTGCACCCATTGTCTTCAGCGACTTCAGGTGTTATATCTTTTGGTAGCCGAGCACCATCAGCTTTTTTCATGCGGTTCCATTCTTGCAAACATTTTTCAAACTCATCTATTTGGATGGCTGACAGCACCTCCCTTGTTTTTTTTCTTCACCTCTTTTACATTTTCAAATCACAGTCCTTTCATGTCCCTCTGCATTCGCAGAAACAAAAAGAAGTCGCATAGAGTGAGGTCAGGTGAGTACAGTGCATGGGGCAAGAGAGGTATGATTTTTTTGCCACAAACTGGCACATTGAGTTGGCTGCATGAGCCGGTGCATTGTCATGGTGGCAAAACTAGTCCCTCGTCTGCCACAAACCAGGCCTTTTTTGTCGCACATAGTTATGCAATCTTTTTGGAATCTCTAAATAGAAAGCTTGATTAACAATCTGACCTGGTGGAATGAACTCCAAATGTACCATGAGTCAACATTTTCATTCATTCCAGAAGTTCAGGAAGTTGGCGGACATCCAGAATGAGGTTTGTCATCAATCAACATTTCACCTTTTTTAAGATGAGAAAACCACTCATACACGAGTTTTTCCCATAGTGCTGTTCAACATCACAAAGTTTCTGTGCATTTTTCCAGAGCAGGAAACTAAGTTTCACAGCTGCATGCTGTTTTCTTAAAGCAGCCATCACAAAAAACGAGGTTTGAGCGAAACTGCTTTTATGAAAAAAATTCACTGTGACCAGAGAGAACCTTCCCAGGCAACACCAATGGGTGCACTGACACAGAGCGAGTTGCCTGATGCTCACCTAGTGGGAAAAATGCGTACTATGAAAGCTCTGCCCTGAAGAGCATTCTTCTGTTTTGGGGGGTGGGGTTTGGTATACCCTCATATGTATTATATTCCTATGTCTGAAGCATTATTTAGAAGTATACTAAAACAAAATTAAATCTTAATAGTGATTATTTTTTTATTTTAGAAATTACTACTTTTTCTTTTCAAATGCAGTAAATTAGAAAACAGGAATGATTAGAACTGTTATTAAAATTTCAAATTATTTTCTATTTTGTCACAGTCTGAAAAAAAGCCAAGTGATATAGCAGTCTGGACAGAAAATGGAGTTTACCTTGGCTACAAAAGAAAGAACCAATCAAGCAATTCATTTAGATTTGAGCAACTAGTTACTACTACAAAACTGAAACATCTTTTACATCTCCCAACAGTTTCTGCTTTGACTGTGCACTATGTTGAGTATACAGTACATCCTGTGGAACTATCTATATTTCTAAATTGCTATACCACAAATGCTCCCAACAAAACGATTTTTCTGGTACTGCATAATGAAGATTCAAAACGATGGATAATACAAGACTTTTCCTTAGTTGTCCCTATAGACACTTCTTTAGTTCCACGTTATATATATTCAGCATCACCAGAATTACTATTATGGGACAAACACAGAGTCTATTATTGTTACAATAATTTAACAGAGACTGGGGTTTTACAAACACGTACAGGAGAAAGAAATCTATCAAGAATTGCAAAGGACAGCACTATTCATTATGTTTACTTAGGTGAAGTATTCTCATCCTTCAGAAATTATCCCAGATTTCATGATATCTTCCTTATGTAGATGTAACAATTTTTAAAATATTACTGTTTGATGCTTTTTATGACTAAAAGTGCATGCTTTACCACTTAGAAAATTATAAAAGATTTTCAATTCTTGAAAAATTTAAAAATTCAATGAACAATAATTACGTTCTCACATAGCAGAGTGGGAAGTTGAAGTTACTTTTTCAGGGTTTCATTGTGTTCAGTCGGCAGATGCTGACTAGATAACCTACGTGTACATCTTCAGCATGGGAGGTTGTTCAGTGTGGGAGGGTTAGATCTGAATTCAAATCCATGAACTAGTCATTCAATTTCCCTTTGTTCTAATCTCTAATATTGTACTATTGTGTTCATTAGAATTGAATTATATTAAAATGCTTCCCAAGTGGCTAACTTCTAATTAATAGCAATTATTCTGGATCTTAGGAGACACTGGGTGACAGTGTTTTATTCTGTTGTTCATAGGGTCGCTAGGAATTTGAATTAGCTGAACGGTACATAACAACATGAATGAATTTTTTTTTAATGAATGAATACTTTTAACAATCATTGTGATGCCATCTCTCTTCAATTTGTCATGCTTGGTGTAGTAGACCACAAAATTGTTTCTTTCAACCATGTAATCTCATGGTTCCTTAGAATATCAACACTTATAAATTCGGTTTAATTTGATGACTTCTAATTTTTCTAGATTCATAATTCACACTTTCTGTTTTTCCATTATTAGTGCAAGTTTACAGCCGTTTCTTTTCATTTTGAAACATACTAACATCTATCCAGAACAAGATCTGCCCTGGAGTACAACAGTGGCAAAAGACTATCTGGACACCTACACAGGGATCAGTCAGTGTGACTATTAGTCAAATTACTAAGCAAACAATCATTCCAAAGATGAGGAAGTTGAAGATGTTTACCAATCTCTGCACTCTGAAATTGGTGAAATATGTAACTAAGGTGCATTGATACTAAGAAGGATCAGCAGTTAGAAAATAAGGTGGTGGTGGTGGTGGTACTAGAAATGACACTGCGCTCATATGATAGAATTTTTACAAGGCCAACCACTGGTTCATTGCAAATACCCTTTTTCAGCAATGTAAATGCTAACTATACACATGGGTCTTGCTGGATGGTATACACAGAAATCAAATGATGGAGATGATGAAAAGCTCCAAAAGCATCAGTTAGAACAAGACCAGTTTCAGAAGAGACCAGCAAGTTCAAATTAAAGTTGAAAAACACTAAAAAGAAGCCCACAAGAACCAAACTGTGACTTGGAGTATATGCCACCTGAATGTAGAGGCCATTTCAAGGATAAATCTAACTCACTGAACACTAATGACTGGAGGTCAAACAAGTTGTTGGCTTACAACAAGGACATCACACATGAAGAAGTCAGAACGTCATCTAAGAGACAGTAATGAATGATGAGACCAAAATGCATGTCAGAAAGAGTCTGCAACTTGCTCTCTATTAGAATGTAAGGACGTGAAAGCAAAAGGATCAAATACCGTAAAAGGGCTCAACAAGATGTCAAGGGGTGGCTCAAGGAAACAAAGTATTATAATGAAACATGAAAAGACCTGGAGTGTGAAACCTAGAATTAAAAAACATGTGTGGCATTTCTCAAGTTGAAAGGACTAAAGAAAAAAGTTAAAAGAAAAAAAAAAAAGTCCAGCCTTTATTTACAGTATTTAAGGATTCCAGGGGCAAATATTGAATGATATAAGAAGCCTCAAAAGAAGATGGAAGGAAATAGAGTTATTATACCAAATAGTCAATCATTTCAGGGGATATGATTAAGAATAAAGGAAGAAGCTCATTGGCAATAAATAAAAGGAGAAAAGAAAAGAAAAAGAAAAAATGTCTCTGGAAATTGACAGAATACAAATTGAAGTGTTTCAACAAACAGATATGGCACTGTAGTGCTCATTTGTCTATGCCAAGAAATTTGGGAGACAGCTGCCTAGTCTAGCAACTAGAAGAGATCCTTAGCTGTGCCCAGTCCCATGAAAAGTGATCCAACAGAATGCAGATATTGTCAAACAATATTATTAATATCACATGCAAGTAAATTTATTTTGAACATAATTTTAAATGGTCACTGTGAAACAGCCACAGGAAACTACCAAAAAAAAGTCAAACCACGTTCATAAGAAGACAGACAATGTGGAATATCATTATTTATATCCGAAGAATCTTGGCTGAAAGCAGAAAATATTAGAGAAATGTTTACCTATGTTTTATTGACTATGGAAAGGCATTAGAACATGGGGATCGTAATAAACTATAGATAACATTGGGACAAATGGGAATCTCGAAACACTTAATTGTACTCATTTAGAATCTCTACATAGACTAAGGCAGTCATTCAAACAATACAAGGGGACACTATTTCAATCTGTATGCTGAGCAAATAATCTGAGACACTGAACCATATGCAGAAAAAAATTACATCAGAATTGGAAGAAGACTTATTCACAACCTGAGATAGATAGATGATACAACTAAGCACAGAAGACTTGATAAAAATCATTTACTGATAAAAATCAAAGTCCACCACCTTTAATATATGTAACATTTTAGCATAAAAATAATTTTTAAAATTCTTACAACTGAGCCAATAATAACATCACAACAAACAGAGGGGGGGAGAAATGAAGTTTTCAAGAATTTCATTTCACTTGAATTCACAATCAATGCCCATGGAAATAGCAGTCAGGAAATCAAACAATGTATTTCATTGGCAAATTTGTTTAAAAAGATTTCCTGAAAGCATTAAAAAGCAAAGATAACACTTTGAAGACTCGGATGGGCCTTACCCAAGTCATGGCATTTTCCGTTACCTCATATGCATGTAAAGGCTGGACAATGAATAAGAACGATGCCCTTGAATTGTGGTGTTGTTGTACTATACTGAATATACCATGACTGCAAGAAAAACAGTCATGTGTTGAATGCTTCTTAGAAGGAAGAATGTTGTATCATGGTTAGGGTTTATGTCAAGTATTCCTGGTTAAGGGTTGGGGTGGGCCCAAACCTACCAATCAGGTCGCAGCCAGATGACACCTCCTTGGGGGTGTGACCTTTTGTGTAAGAGAGAGACCGAGTGGATCTGATTTCTTTTTGTCCTTTTACCTTACCCTGGAGCTGGATCCTGCATCTAGTTTATAGATTTCCTGTCCTGTCGCCTACAATCAGTGGACAACCTACAATGGATTGACTTCAGATTCATTTACCCCTGCATCCATCTGTCTGTGCCCCCACTACTCCCTCCTTCTTCATTCTGCTTCCTGTTCAACAGCTTCCATGGCTACACAAATCAGGAGAAGGCTGATGTGAACTGGATTGGAGTTACCAACTTCTACAACTGTGTAAACCATTACTCTCTATGAGTCTCTTTCTATTTAGAAATACATACAAATATCACTGGTTTTCCTTTCTAGAGAACCCAACCTGACACCTGGTACAACTTCATCTCATGTATTTTAGTTATATTCATTGGATGGACCACTGTCTGGAAGAGGACATAATGCTCGGTAAAGTCAGCAAAAAAGAGGAAAATATTCAGTGAGATGGATTGACGCAGTGGTTACCACGATGAATTCAGACATAAGAACAATTGTGAGGCTGGCATGGGCATCGACAGGGTTTCAATAGTTTGTACAGAGTGTCACTATGAGTCAGACAGACTCACCAGCACCTAACAACAACACAAAAATGAATGAACCTGACAACATATGCCATTGTTTCTAGCCAACTCCAATAGCACTAGACTGCTACGCTGTAGACTGCTGACTGAAAGGTTGGTGGTTCAAATCCATCAACTACTATGAGGGAGAAGGATGAGGCTCTTGAAAGACTTGCTGCCTCAGAAACCAAATACAAGGTTGCTATGAATTGGAACTGACTCAGTGGCAATGGGTTGTTGGTTTTTGTTTGTTTGTTTTTCAGTGCTACCTAATAAAAGAATTTTTATTATGCTCATTTTATTATTATACAATATACACAAATCCCAACTCTTTTTCTCTGTAAAAGATGGGCATAGTGTGAAATAGTGGGAATAGGGGGGAAGTATCTAAAAGGAAAACTGCCCTATCTGAAGTGGGAGAGAAGTTCTAAACTATAATAAATGTAAAATTATGCATTTTTGCTTGCATACTCTAACTTACTCGAAGTACTCAAAGGGGCCTAAAAAATAGAATTAAAAGATAATGGAATTTTCCCAATACATTTTTGAAGCCCCTTCATCTAGATAGTCATAAAATAAATTATTCTGGCAAAAAGTATATTTAAATGACTTAACGGACTTATGATTGCTTATTATAACCTAAATTTGTCTCTCTTTTTTTCCAGATTATTTTGGAAATATTATCATAAAAATGGAAAATAATATAATGTTTCACACCAAGCCTGGTGTTAAAGATGTAATACAGCTACATGCATGGACAAATAAGACAATTAAAACATTACTTGCCTCAACTTTTTTTGGTAATTTTTATATTGTAACCAGTGTTGAAAATGGTGTGTTACACATACAGTCATACCCTTTAAAAGTGGAATTACAAAGTGTATATTTTAAGTATGGTGAAACTTGTCCCTACATTGCATTTTATAGTAGTCTTGTTGGCATTTCTTTCACATTGGACAAGAAAGAGATCTTATCATTTTGGGCTCAAGTTATTTATCCAGAAAATACTGGCATTTTCATTATTATGGAATCCTATGGTCCAAATCTATTAGAAGTGAAGAAAGAGGTGAAAAATGAAGTTGTCTTAGGATACTGCACTAAAACCCTGGTAAGATAATGTTTAAATTTCCTCATTTGGTATATGGATATGTATATATACATAAGTATAAGTTAATGTTGATTTTTTTAAATGTGTTTCCCTTCTAGGTTTATCTGGGGAAATGTTGAGGAATATGAGAATTATTTTTTTAAATCATTTCATTGGGGGCTTGTACAACTCTTATCACAATCCATACATACATCCATTGGGTCAAGCACATTTGTACAATTGTTGCCATCATCATTCTCAAAACATTTGCTTTCTGCTTGAGCCCTTGATATCAGCTCCTATGAGAAATCTTATATGTGAATTCAAATGCAATTCTGATGATCCATTAATTCCTCAGCCCAAATTTCATTTTCAACATCAAAGTTCCCTTTGCCACATTAAAACACTTTTAATTCTTTGCAAACTTCTTAATTGTTGATTTTATTGTTCATGTCCTTATTTTGTGTGTTTGCGTTTTTTAAAGTATGGCTTTTTGTAGAATTGCATTTGTTATCTGAGTATTATATAAGTTATCTAAGTTCCCTGGGTGGTGTCTGCACTCAGCCACCTAATGGCACTGTGGAAGAACATCCTGATGTTCCTAAAGATTACAGGCAAGAAAATTCTGTGGCACCCAGTTCTGTTCTGTAACACATGGGTCACCATAAGTCAGAATTGAGCCAATGTCAACAGATTTTTTTGTTGTCTCTTACCTACTGTAGCATAACAAATTACTTCAAAAACTAATTGTCTTCAAACAACATTTTATTTCCTTACAATTTTATGGGCCAACAACTTGGTCAGAGAGTAAGTAAGTAGCTCTACTGACTGCATCTAGAATCACTCATATGTGGTCATCTGCTGGTTCATGTGGGTGACTCACATGTCAGATGGTTAGGGCTAGCATTGGTGTGCTGGACCAAGGGGTGTTGGCTGGAGTGCTTGTCTCCACTGCATTTGCCTCTAATCCTAAAACTAGACCTGGTGTCCTTGGGGCAGTGTTCCAAGTTACTCAGAGCAGCAGATACAAAGGCTTTTGAAGCAAACAAAAAGAGAAAAGATTTACACTTTTCTGCAGTATCGGGCAATTTACTTACTCTATTATCTGGCCTCAATATCTGCATTTAGTCTCATGGTTTTTCTTTCCAAGAATTGGATGTGTACTATGTTTTTTGTCCATTTGCAACTCATCCCATCAAGATCAAGATATATAAATGCCCAAGGGCAACAAAATATTTTTAAAATTTTAAATAAAACACTAGCTCTATCATTTACTGGTTGATAACATTGGCCAAAGTTTTAAATCTTTTTGTGCCTCAGTTATCTCTAAAGTGAGTATAATAATAGTGCATATCTCAGAAGGTTGTTATGACAATTATAGTCATGTACTGCATAAGGCCCAACTGCAAATAGAACCCATAAGGGTCCCCTAAGGTTATAGTAGAGTTCAGACAGAGGGAACACAAGAGCTTCCCCCATACAACACGTGTAAGTCACGTCTTTTGTATACAAAGGGATTACATTTTGTATAGTACATATGTAGCCTATAATGCAAATGTCTTCATAGTCATGACATTGGTGTATGTATGTACTGTATTTTATTTCTAAAAAAATTTTTTACCATATAATGTCTATGCTTTGATTCATAGGCAGCAGCATACACTATTGCTCATCTCTTGAGCACTGTATCCTTATCATTCTTTAATTGTTTTTAGAGAAGATAACCATGAAGTGCATCCTGGATCTTAAACAATGCAAAACAGAGCTAGTTATGGCAGTAGGAAGAGGAGAAATTTCAATTTGGAAGTGAAACAAAAGATTATTAAACAACAGGAGGTGGAAAAATCAGTGAATTCTATTGCTTGTAATTTAGAAATGCTGGCACATAATCCAAAATCGTGTAATGTCCTGTTTCATAGAACATATCATGCACCTTACGCAATATATGGCTGTTAATGAGTTAGTACATGTAAAGGACTTGACATAAAATAAGCACTATATGTTTGCATTACTTCCCTAGCTGATGTAATCATTTGCACTCAGCTCTTAACCTAAAGATGAGCAGTTCAAACACACACAGTGGTACCATAGAAGCTAGACCTGGTCATCTGCTTCCATAAATATTACAGCCAAGAAAACCTTAGGGAGAAGCCCTACTCTGTAATCCTGAGTCAAGGCCAACCTCATGGCAATGGGTCTGGTTTTCTTAGATTACACTCCTTGCTCTTACAATTACTACCACTACTACTACCAGTGCTATCCTACAACATCTCTACCATGTGTAATCAAGTCTACAGCACAGTTTATTAATATCTAACACCTCTGAAATCAGAATGAATCCTACATTCCATGACACCTTAGATTTGATGAGTAATATTATTATTACTATTAGCATTATTCTGTAGGCATCTTGCTCACATCATAAAGCTTAGATTATTATATTCTCATAGACTTAAGTATTGATCAATATGGTGTTAAGCATCATAGCTAATCATTTACTTTTCAAATAAATATAATAGCAATGGGCAAAAGTATATAAAATAGCTGCATAATTTAGCAAATAATTATAAACAAAACACCCATGTAATCACCACTCAAGTGAAAAAAAAAAAAAAAAGAGAGAACCTTAGGAGAAGCCAAAGAGCCTTTGTACCTTGCCTCATAATCTTCTCCCTCCCAAGAGATAGACACTAGTCTGACTTTTGAGATAATAATTTTCTTGCTTTTCTGTATCGTCTTACTATCTATATATGTATCATTAAACAATCTATTAAGGAGCTCTGGTAATATAGTGGGCTATATTTTGGGCTGTTAACCACAAGGTGAGCAGTTTGAATTCACCAGCTCACGGGAGAAAGATTTTCTGGCCCCATGAAGATATGTAGTCTGGAAACCCACAGAGACAGTTCTACTCTGTCCTATAAAGTCTATGTGTCAGGATGGAGTTGGTAGCAGTGAATGAGTGACTGTGAAACAGTCCATTTTATATTCATCTTTTGAATTTCATATGAATAGTCTAATTAAATATGCACACACCCATACACATACATATATTAATGCATTCCTACATATGAATTGGTGTTTTGCTTCTTTCACTAAATATTACGCTTGTGAAAGTCCATGTTATTTTGAGTAGTTGTAATTCATTCACTGCTCTATACTATTCCCTTGTATGAGTGTACCACAATATTTACTTATTTTACTGATGGTGGACACTTATCAAGTAGAATTACTAACTTTAATATGGTATTCTTTTTGTTTCGTTTTTTGTTTGTTTGTTTTAAAGTTGTTTTTAATTTGGGAATTAGGTGGGGGGTTACATTTAGAATCATCAATTTTGTATTCCACAATTAATCTACTTGTCAGCCACCCCCAAAAGTTTCCCCTGCCCTCTCTTTGGATTTCTCTCCTCCCTCTGTGGACTACTATCTGCCCTTCATTTGTACCCCAGTTAACACCTGCCACCCTGCTAGCCTGTCACTTCATCCTCCTTCCCTTGCCCTCCCGGAAGTGTTCATCTCCGAAGTCTGCTCCCTTTGGGATGAAGGTCTTGGTCTTGGTTAGTTGTCTTTATAACAGTGGTCTCCTACAACACGTGTCCTTTGGTGACTGACTAATTTTCACTTGGCATTCTCTTCTCCAGGTCCGTCACGTCACGAGGGGCTTTGTGGTTCCGTCATTGTTTTTAACAGTACATAGTATTTTATTGTGTGTTTGTACCAAAGTTTTTTAAATCATTCTTCTACTGACAGGCATTTGGGTTGTTTCCGTCTTCCTGCTATTCTGAACAGTGTTCAAATGAACATGGCTGTGCACGTGCCCCTTTGTGAGATGACTCTTCCTTCTCTGGGGTACACACTGGGCAGAGGTATTGCTGAATCGAATGGAATTTCTATTCCTGGTTGGTTGAGGTAGTATCGTTGTACATATTTACAGTCCTATCAATAGTGAATGAAGATTCCAATCTCCCCCCAACCCACTCCAGCATTTGTTGTTTTCATTTATTTTTTAAAACTTGACTGTCCTTGTTGGTGTAAGGTGGTATCTCATTGTTGCTTTGTTTTGCATCTCCCTGATGGCTAATGATCGTGAGCATTTTTTTCATATGTTTGTTAGCCACTTATGTGTCCTCTTTGGTGAAGTGCCTGTTCACGTCCTTTGGCCATTTTTTAAATTTATTTTTTAATCATTTTATTGGGGCTCGTACAATTCTCATCACAATCCATACATACATCCATTGTGTCAAGCACATTTGTACATTTGTTGCCATCATCACTCTCAAAACATTTGCCTTCTACTTGAGCCCTTAATATTGGCTCCTCATTTTTCGCCCTCCCTCGCCCTCCCCCCTCCCTCATGAACCCTTCATAATTCATAAATTATTATTATTTTGTCATAT